AGCTTTGATCTTGGATTCTTCTGCAACAGCCTCCCTAGTGCAGGCGTGCACTAAGGCCAGTGGATACTGTCATCTTTAAAGAATCATTGTGTAGCTCTGGCTGCCCAAGAACTTGTTTTATAGACCAGGCTGGCCTTGAGCTCACAGAGGTCTGCCTGTTTCTGCTTCATAAGTGCTGGGATTAAAGGTCTATGTCACTACATTTGGTAAGTGACTGAGTAGTTTCTATTTTTCTATTATAATTAGTGTCCCTATGTTTATCCTTGTCTTCTACAGACTTTATACAGCATCCAGGGTAATCCTGAGTTTATTTTAATAAAATCCAATTCAGATATTCCTTTCCGTAATTCCATCAGAGTAACGTGTAAGGTTGTATAATAGCCTGCACAGTAATGTATGTCATATATGGTTCTCTTCCCTTATCCACCCCAATTTTTACCTCTTTGATATTGATACAGTTCTCCACATTGATTCTTAAACTCTTACCACACAGGCTGCCTTCTTTTCTTTGAACTTATCAGGCATACATCCAACTTGTTTTTCTTTCTGCTTTGACTACACCTGCTCAGTTATCTCCTTTAGGTCAGATGTCACCACATTGGCAGAAGCTGTCTCTGTCCACTCTGTTAAAAATAGTAATTACTCCCTTCTCTCCCCTTTCTATTCCTCCTTAGCTTGTTTCTTCTTCCATATACTTAATTGCCACCAAGTGCTGCCTGCTTTCTTGTCCTCTCCTAATTAAAAGGTAAACTGTACTTAACTCTTGGTAACAGTTTTCTCCTTAGAACCTAGAAGAGTGACTTAACCCGTCGCAGCTGTTTATGTATTTGTTGAACAAATAAAATTCTATTCTAAACCTCAAATAATGAACTTAATTTTTACAAGATACCCTACGTTTTTTTGGGTTTCAACTCAGTTAAGTGGGGGAAAGAACTGGAAACTAAAGATGCAACCATAGTAAGAGAAATTGAGGTATAATTTTCAGGAAATATATAAATCATGTGCATTAACTATATTTTAGAAGATAAACACATGAAACACAGACCAAGGACTTGGCTCTTCCAGCACTGCAGAACTCTTTCCATATCTGGCTATTGTCCATATCAGAAGTGCCCCGTTTTGAGTGGCACATTTGTTATATTTGGTGACTTCATCCTAAGAAATTATAACAGTGCACATATTTTAGGTTTCTTTTTTGGTGGTGTACATTCTGTGAGTTTAGATTAATACGTAAATCATATTAGCCCATTATAATGATAGAGTATTTTTATTCCTCTAGAATTCTTTCCTGATTTTTTTGAAATTAAATCCTGGGGAAAAATAGAAAATTAGAACAAGCTGGATGGTGGTGGCACATGCCTTTTGTCCCAGCATTTGGGAGGCAGAGGCATACTGAGCTCTGTGAGTTCGAGGTCAGCCTGGTCTACAAAAGCAAGTTCCAGGACAGGTCCCAAAGCTACAGAGAAGCCCTGTCTCCAAACAAAAAGAAGAAAAGAAAAAAGAAAATTAGTGTATTACATTGTTTGAATAAAGAGAAGTGATTACATTTTTATTTAAGGGCAAGGTTTTGGTAGGTTAAGTTCAAGATGACTTGGAGAAAGATAAGAGAGCCTTGCATGCACTGGCAGACTTTGCTGAAGTTGATAGTTTAGGTTACTGATGCCAAGGGGATACAAGGAGAAGGTTTGTTTTTTTTATGGACAAGATGTGTTCAGTTGGACTTGGCTAAGTTGTATACATCTGCACAGTAAGAAAGAAAACTAAATTGTGTTAGCAGCTTTTTTTTCTGGCTGTCAGTATTAAAGTATCTATTCCCTCAGTCAGGTTTTCCATTCTTTCCCATGCTTATTGGCGCGCTCTCTCTCTCTCTCTCTCTCTCTCTCTCTCCCTCTCCCTCTCTTTCCCTCCCTCCCTCCCTAAATTTTATGTATATTGGTGTTTTACCTGTGTATATGTTTGTGTGAGGGTGGCAGAACTCCTACAACTAAAGTTACAGACATTTGTGAGTCATGGGATGCTGGGAATTGAACCTGGGTCCAGTGTTTTTAACCAGTGAGCCATCTCTCTATCCTCTTATTTTTGTGTGGTTGTTATTTTTGATGGTCTTTAAGTCTCAGTAGTCCATATTCAGATAGGTAGATACTCTTTCTGTCTCTTTGTTTCTTGAGAGACAGGGTCTTCTAGAAATCTCTATGTAGGGCAGACCAACCCCAGACTTGGTTATCTGGGTTGGGATACAGCACTTGTATCCCAACAAGTTAATCCCTCCTCCATCTGCCACCTGATGGTTGGGATATAGCACTTGGTTTATTATATTTCTTTTTAAAAATATTTTTAATGGGGACTGGAAAGATGACTCCGTGGTTAAGAGCACTGACTGCTCTTCCAGAGGACCCGGGTTCAATTTCCAGCACCCACATGGCAGCTCACAACTGTCTGATGATCCAGTTCCAGGGGATCTGACACCTTCACACCAATGCACATAAAATAAAATTAAATAAATCATAAAAAAATTTAAAAAAGAATATTTTTAATGTAGATTCTCACACTGAAACTCAGGCTGGTCTGGAATTCATTGTGCAGCTCATACTGGTCTCCGACCAGTATTTTGGAGCAGTCCTCCTGTCTGAGCCTGTGTTTTTAAGATATAGTCTTAGAATGTCTTGCCCCTGCTTTTTGCTCTGTCCCGGTATCACAGATGGTGTTGAGTAAACACGTAGAAAATTGAGACTTAAATGACATAATCAGTTTTTAAAACATCTAATAAAATTCTCATTTTATTTTTGTGTATATGCTATCTGTAAAGTAGCCTTATTCAGCTTGTTAGAGTTGACATTGTACGACTGCAGTGCTTGTGTGGTGTCTGTCATGTGACAGTGGGACAACTAATATGAAAGGGTAGGGTCTATGATCTCTAATATGTGGAGAGGTCTGTAATAGCTGATTCTCTATTAAGAATAGAAAAACAACAGATAGAATATCACTTTTTAAATTTTCAGCCACCAGATGAAACTCACACTGCACATAGACTCATAATTGTTGGAATACCTGGATGAGGAAATGTGTTCTTTTTGTCCCTCATCTGACAGAGGAAGAGTTAATTGCTCTGTCAGCTAAATCTTTAAGTACTCTCTGGATTATCATCTCTTCCTGGCATTTTGACACAGCCCCCAACACACATAAGTGAATATTTCTCATAAGCAGCTAAAAACACAGTCCTCTTTCTTGTTTCTCAGAATAAAACATTTCTTATTGTTTTTAACTTCCAAGCTTCTGCTATGTTTCTCCATGTCTCTTGAACATATTTAAAAAGTTGCTTTCTTTAAAAAATAGATATATATTTTTTTTACTAAGTTTATTTTATTTTTGTGCATGCATGGGGATGTGACTGCAAGTACCCACAGAGGCCAAAGGCTTCTATTCGTAAGCTACCTGGTGTGGATGCTATAAGCTGAGCCCAGGTCCTCTGCAAGAGTTGTATGTGTTCTTAACCACTGAGCCATCTCTTCAGCCCTTGATTTTGTTTTGACAGTATTGCTATGTAGACCAGGTTAACTTCAGATTCATGAACCTTCTGCTTTAGTTTCCCAAGAGATCTGAGACTACATATGTGTAAAACAATATGTACCCAGTTATGCTTGTTATTAGTACTACTTTCTTGCTCACTATTTTTAATTATGCACATGTATTGGTGGTTGGAGATTGCTCAGTGGTTAAGAGAGCATGTGCTGCTTTGCAGAGGACCCAGTCTAGATTCTCATACCCATGTCAGGTGGCTTGTAACTGCCTGCAGTTCCATGGGGTTCTAATGCCTTTGACATTCACGGGCACCTGCATTCACATGTATACACACATAAGTGTTAAAAAAATTATGTGTGCATTTGTGTGTGCATGTGAGTGCAGCTACTCTTGGAGGCCAAGAGAGGCTGTTGGCTCCTGTGCCATTGGGATTCTAGGCAGTTGGAGCCACCATGTCGGGGCAGGAACCAAACCTGGTTCCTCTGGAAAAGCAACACAGTCTGTTAGCCACTGAGCTGGTTCTCAGCCCTGTCAGTCACTGATTGGCATTGATTCAGATGCTCTTGTGTTGTCGATGGCACTAATATCCACCCTAATGCCCAGGCCTGAATTCCTTCTCTTCTTTTTCTCCTATATTTTATTATGTGGTTAAGTTACATTACTGTAAAATTATATACATTTTGTTTTTATATTTCCTGATGCTAGGGACCAAATTTTGGGCACTACCACCAAGCTGCATCCAAGCCCTACATACTTTATTTTCAAGGTTATTTTTGTCCAAAGTATTAGTGATTAATAAAAATCTAAAGTAGGATTTTTAGGTTTGTATATATGCTTTTCAGGAATTTGGGGGTATTTTGTTGCCATAAAGGATTCTATGTACTTGATACTTTTATCATCCTTTATTATCTTTTAGAATCAGTTTTCTGGGTTGAGAAAACTGTAGTTGTCTATAAATAGAATGGCTACAAGTTGTAAGATATTAAAGATGTATGTTTCAGGCTAAATTGGTCATTAAATTTTTTGATTGGACCTGCTCTTGCAGGCCGGCCTCAAGTTTCAACTGTTTGGTATGCTGAGGCAAGAAGTTCATGACCACCCTGGAAAACTTAATCATAACTTATCTCAAAATTAAAAATTACAAGAAAAAAGAGGGGGCCTGTGAGGCCCAAGGTTTGGCCCTGTAGCACCTCAGTTAACTAATTGAACGACATATTTGAAGTTTACTTTTCTTACTGGATCTTTAAAGAAAAGTAAACTTTGCTGCTTGCCCTGCTCCCTCTTCTGTAAAGTCTTAAAAATTAAATTGTTTTGAAGGGATAAAGCTACAAAGGAAAATGAATATGCCTTATAAACAGTTGAATTTTTTCTTATATAATACTCACTTTAACTGAGAAAAGTTTGAAACTAATGTTTGTCTTTTTAAACCAGTAAGCTGTATCTCATGTATCTGTGTGCTGCCTCCTCCCCTTTATCTTTAGATATTAGGATCAAGGAAGAAGAACCTGACCCTGAAGAGTGGCAGCTCAGTGGTGACTCTACATTGAATACCAATGACCTAACACACTTACGAGTACAAGTGGTAGATGAAGAAGGGGACCAACAACATCAAGAAGGAAAAAGACTTCGGAGGGTAGCTTGCACCTGTCCCAACTGTAAAGAAGGCGGTGGGAGGTATGCACACATCAACCATGTGTTGTTTGAAGGAGTGCTAATATCATCCTAATTTTTAAAATACTGCATGCCATATCACTTAATTACGGTAAATTATTCATCACATCATCATTTTGGGTGTGTGACTGTATGAGTGGCAGATGTTAGACAACTAAATATATATAGATTTTCATTCCAAATGCCTTTTAAATTAAAATTGCTTAGTCTTTAAAAGAATATAACAGATAGAATTTTATAGACCTCAGTTTATTAGCCTGTTTGCAAACTAGTATTGAGTTTGACCTAAATACAGAGAAAAATGCTATATAATACAGAGAATGCTATATAAAAATAAGAAGTTCAAAAATAGTTGATAAGTGTGAATACTTCCATTTTCAACAGAAATGAGAATGAAAGGTCTTAATGATGGGGACTTATTTTTTTCAAAAGTAGCATGGTAGAATTTACCTCTTTTTTTTTTTTTTTAAAGATACTGAGACAAAAATAATGTTATAGGAATGAGTTCAAATGGTTGGAAATTACTTTAAATGTAGCTAGAGTAAACTTATTAAGAGACTTAGTTAATAAACAACAGAATCCATCCTGATGTTAGTATAAGAAACATTTCAAATATTTGGTACAGTATTACAGAAGATGGAATGAAATATCAAATTTTAGCAAAATGAAAACTTGGATAGCAATGTTGGTATCAAACAAGTTTCAGTTGAATTGGAAAATACAAGACAGGCAGGATTATATTTCATAATGACATTTCTGTCTAGATTCAGTAATCACAGTATCTGTTTGCCCCAGCTTTGAAATATATAAAACAAAAACAGAATGCTAAAGTTGTGCTAGCAAATCTCCACTCATTATTGTAAAAGACTGCAGTACTTTTCGCCTATGACCTACTTTAAGTATGCAAAATACGCTGAACAGTATAACTGTATATAAATGCACATGGTTATAGACTTGATTATCTTTCAGTTCTCTGGTTGGTCCTATTAGTTGATTTCTACTTTGATCAGTTCATTTGCAACAATAATGACTAGGACAGAGATATCTCTCAGTGAGGCCTGAAAACCACAAAAAGGGAAGGCGACTGATAGCTGCTAACGTGCGAAAGCTACTGTATTCTTATAAGTGACACATATGTGTCACACATAGGTAAATTACTTAAATGCCCACGTGCATTCAAGTAGAATTGCCAGCACTCAATGAGAGAGTTTAAGGCCAAGCTGAGCTATAATGTGAGACCATGTTTTCCAGGAAAACAAACAAAAAGCAGAAACAAACCAAAACTGGACCAACTGGGTATCGAACCTATGTATATACTTCCAAGTTTTAAACCCTTACATTGTATTGCCAACTCAGTGGATCTGCTTCTGAACCTGACCTTAGATAATTTAGTGGAATTCTGGATAGGCAGTAACTTTCCTGAAATGTACTTTTTTAAAAAGGCACTTTCAAGATAAGTTACCCATCAGATCTATACGGTAGTCAGTGCTTAGCCTTTACTTAGAAAGTTAAACATCTTCCTAAAATGCAGAGGAAATAGAATATTTCAGAACAGCACATAAAAACCCCACAAGTCATATCCCATCTCAGGATCTAACCACTGTAACATTTTTGTGTAATACTACATATACTTTGAAGTGGAAACATCTTACTGTTTATGTCTCTTGTTTTGTAAGTTTTTGTGGCCTTATTTCCATGTCTGAGCTGTGTCCTCTTTTGATCTATGTATAGTATTGTATGTGGATATATAATTTAATTTTCTCCTTTGTTTGGGATTCATCAAAATCCTCACATATACGTCCTGGCACATCTGTGATTGTCTCCTTAGTGTGTGCTGGCAGAGGTAGAATTGCAGGGTCAATGGAGTTGTCTACTGAAAGCCGTAGCCCCTTACACTTAGCACACTGTCTCAGGATGTCCATGTTCTCATGTGCTGACCAGTTCTTTCTGCTTTTTTTTTTTAAACCTTTTAAAGTTTGATAGGCAAGAATTATCTCTTCTATTTTAGTTTATGTTTTGTTTTATTGCTTGGTGAGGTTGAACATATTTGGTAATTAGGTTTATAAAATTTATTTTGTGAATTGTCTGTCTTGTGAAACTGTTAGTTTATGTGAACTTTTACATGTACAAGTATGTTTTCTCAGTTCTTTCTACATTACTCTTAACTGTCAGTGGTCTGCACAGTGCACTGTACAAGTAACGGAGTTTACTTACAATTAACAAAAAATTAAGTTAGTCTTTTAGTTGCTAAAAGTATGCCAGAAATGATAGCAAGTAATTTTTTTCATACAATTTTTTACTTCATTATTTTTATAACTTATTCTAAATAAATCAAGGTTCTTAGGATAGTAGTAGTTTCATAGACTTGATTTGAACAGAATTGAACAGGTTTCTATCCTTACCTTGTATAAATAGCTAGTTATTAGAAGCATTAACATAAATAGTAAGTCTAAGAACATTTCTGCAACTTAAATTAACTTTTTAAAAGAGTAGAATATTGGCTTTTTTCCCTTAACCATTTTCTAAATACATACATAAATGGGCAAGATAGCATTTTTAGAAAATTAATTTCATTTAGCTGCAGAAAACTGTTTTGTTTACTTTTTTGAGCAAGCTATAAAAGAAAATATTTTAAGGGCTGGAGAGATGTCTCGGTAGTCAATAGCATTGGCTGTTCTTCCAGAGGACCCAGGTTCGGTCCCCAGCACTGATATGGCAGCTCACAGACATCAGTAACTGGAGTCCCAGGGAACCCAGCACCTTCTGTTCTCTGAGCACTGCATGCTTGTGGTGCACAGATACACATGCAGGCAAATCACTCACATTATAAAGTAACAGATTTAAATTAAAATGCTTCAATTAGCCAGTTTTTATATAGTAGAACCAGTCTTTAGACACCAGTAGAAGAAATAATTGTAACAATGCAAAATGATCTAAAGGCATTATTGTTACATGGGTTTGTGTGAATTAAGCATCAATCCATTAAATTATTTTACAAAGTTTGTCAGCATTTCAGCTTGCGTTTCTGCCACCATAAGCAAAAGAGGCTGTGATTATTTAGCTTTCCTTAACTTTGTCCAGAATTTAGATTTATTCTGTGTTGCTGTCTTGTCATTGAATTATTGGGCGCAAGTTTAGACACTCACGAGTAGACATTTAAAATTGCTAGTTATATGGGGTTATATAATGGACATTATTATGTTCAAGATGTAAACACTTGAAAGAGCTTTCTTTTCCCTCAGAGGATAGGCCATGAATACATTTGGTCTATCTAGATCTTTCCTTGGGTTGAATTTCCTTAAGTACTAATTTGAACCTCAGCAAGCTAAACATTTACCTTAAATTATAATACAGTTGATGCAACTTGATATTTTTCTAGATGCATATCCCATTTTTAATGACTATTTCCTCATTTGTTTTATAATTCAACAGGAAAAAAAAATCTTTCCCTACCATTTTTTCTCAGTCTTCTGAGAACCTGTGTTTGTTGCTGTTCATTTGTTAGTCTTGTATTTTGTTGGTGCTCACAGGCTGAGTTTTGCTAAATTTGTCAAATCACACTGTTGAGTTTATAAAATCACAGTAGTTCACCGAAAGTGGCAGCCGTAACAAAGGAGTGTGAAGTCATGAGTGAACTGAGTTGGGTTTCCTGTGAAATTGCTATGGTGAACGCAGCATTAATACACTGTAAAGACACTGTTTCTTTCTCTTAGATCTATTTAAGAATAAAGCAAATTTTAAAAAGCTAAATTGAATGGAAACAAGACTTGGGCATTGAAAATAAGCCAGAAAAACCTGTTTTTTCTCAACTCAGCTCTTTAAAGAGATTTAGAAATTGGGGGTGGACTGGAGCAGGAACTAGAATGTGTTAGATTATGACATCCTTGCCCTTGAGACAACAGCATGATTCCTCCTTGTCTTTGCTTATGCTATTCCTCTGCCTGGAATGCCTTCCCTCCCTTCTATCTAAATCCTACCCACCTCCTCCACGAAGCCTTCTCTAACTACTGGAGCCCACATTGATGTCTCCCTGTTCAGAACACCTATGGCATCTAACAGCCAGCACTGCACCGTTTAGCACTGTTTGTCCTATGGCAATTTCACATGCTACTGAGTGTGAGTACATTAAAATATAAATGTGGGGGAAATTTGAGAAACGATAGGTAGATTGTATACAGAAGGATTTAGTAGTTGTGGAAGGTTTACAGGCTACACTTGGCTTGAGAATGAGGGAGGAGGGGAGTTGGGAAGGGGTTAAAGGTGCCTTTTTTTTTTTTTAATCTTAGAGTAACATTGTAAAGTTAATTCAGTGTTTTGATAATTATGTCCAAAAAGTCATGCTTTAAAAATATATTCAGTAACAATCCTAATTAATTTTTGTCAAGAAATGTTTATGCTTAATGCTATACCGTTTCTGGATTCAAAAAGGTTTCTTCTTGCTTAGACTAAGATGCCTCTGTTCACTCATCTAAGCACGACTCCCAAACCGTCCTTTGTATCAAATACTTAAGTCTATTGTAAAAATTTGAACCGTGGAAAAAATGGTATTTTGTTATATCTCTGTGAACAATTTGGGGTAGTTGTACTGGCTTATGGGGGGAGAATTTTAACAGTAAAGATAATTTTGATTTGTAGTTTTTGTGTGAGATACCAGGAGAGTTAAGAACATAGCTTTAGCTAGATTTTTTTAAAACTGGATTTCAAGTCAGTTTATGTTAGGTGTGACCATTCGAGCACTTAAATGTTGTTAAATCATGTCAATTTAAAACTGCTTCAGCTGTCTATCTGCCCTCTAATTGTATGTGATGAATTTCTGTACAGTATTCTTTGGATAATAAATTATAAAAATTATCTGACTTTGAATAAAACTAGTTTCCTGTACTGTTAATTTGATCGGTTCTGTATTTGCGAGTGATTCTGATGGGGTAGTTTAGCTTATTGTGCATTCTTTGTGTATGAAGTGTTCTTTTAGTTACATCGTTATTGAATATAGTTATATTCAGACAACAATTCTTGAATAAAATTAATACATTAAATTTGTATGTTTAAAATACATAAATTTCCACTTAAATAGATTTAAAATGGTTTTGGTTTCTGATTGTTCTCTTGGTGATAATATCTTTTCTTTGAAACTCAAGAAGCTATATGATGATGTAAATGATTTTTAATGTTTTGATATAAATGTATATTATTCTGTGTGTTTTTTAGAGGTACCAACCTTGGGAAGAAGAAGCAACACATTTGTCATATACCAGGATGTGGTAAAGTCTATGGGAAAACCTCACATTTGAGAGCGCATCTACGTTGGCATTCTGGAGAGCGTCCTTTTATTTGTAACTGGATGTTCTGTGGCAAAAGATTTACACGAAGTGATGAATTACAAAGGCACAGAAGAACACACACAGGTTACTAATACTTTTATGTTTCCCCCCTGTGCCTTCCTCCCTCCCTTTTAGGGATTGAGCCCATGTGTATACTCAAAACATTGAGCTGCCTCCCTAATCTGTATAGTTGGTTTTAACAGACAAAATGAATTGTAGTCTATAGCTGCTAGACATTTTTTCAGCATGATTTACTTATCAGATCTTTAAATTGATTAATTAGATCAAAAATCAACCCTCAGTAATACTAATTTAAAGTCTAAAGAACAAGCTAATATAGATTTTCTTGAGGAATGGCTTTTATGTTATATATACTTGAGTTAGCTTTCATTGACTGTTGAATGTCTTAAAGCACATTTTACTGTTCATTCTGTTCACATATTTAAAATTAGCTGCTGTTTCTCTTATTGTTATGCTAGCAAATATCTATTCTGAAATTCTGATATTTTATCTTTTCTGTTTGAGTATCTTAGGTGAGGGAAAGGCATTTTATTGAGGTATTTGTTAATTTTTTCTTTTTTACATAATATATGGTGATTATATGAGATGGGTATAGGACAGATTCAAACTGAAGTCTAAAGTAATGTAATTTTCTGCCAAAATTAAACAATCAAAGTGTTCATCATTCTCTGTGTAGTGTTGAAGAATTGAGAGCTGATGCTCTAAGGTAGTGTGTAGAAGGAAGCATGGCCAAATGAGCAACATGAATTTTGAAGTCTGATACACTAGGACTACTTGCAGTTTTTCTATTAGGTTAAGCAAATAAGTTGTCTCTGCTTCACAACTTTTAATTTGGCTTTGAATGTCATAGAAGATAACATTGAAGTATGAGGCAGTATATACGCACATTAGAGTCTCTGCTTGTTTTAGTTCTGTTTCTTGTTATTATAAAGATAAAAAATGTGATTAACCCTTTTGAAACTAACATGAGTGGCAGGGCTTTCTATTACAGTTTGTGTTGAATATGCTGAGGAGAGAAAGTTCTAGATATAATAACATTGAGCAATTGGAGTGAAGATCCTAAAATGGCCCCCAATAGAATTTTCCCCAATGGAATTTCCTCAGTAGGTTGTGAAAAAGAATAATGTATATGGAGAAGAAAAAATCTGATCAAATACATGTGGGTTATTTGTTCACCCAAGGGCATGGATTAAAGAGGGAACATGAATTCATAAGGTATAAGGTACTACCTTAAGCTTTGAATCATGTTGGGTAGTCTTGGTGCATGTGTTTAATTCTAGCACTCAGGAGGCAGTGGCAGGCAGATCTCCAAGTTCAAGACAGCCTAATCTGCATAGTGAGTTTCAGGATATTCAGGGCTACACAGAGAAACCCTGTTTCAGAGGGGGGGGAAAGAATGCCAAATATTTGGGTAGAGTTATCTCCATAGGGGGAAATCTCACAGGGGCAGCTCATGAGACTACTACAGCTCTTCTAGGTCTTCTGTTTCGGGAGAGACCATCGTTGATCTGTAAAAGTGGAATTTAAAAATAAGCAGTTTCATTTTTCTTTACAGGTGAAAAGAAGTTTGTTTGTCCAGAATGTTCAAAACGTTTTATGAGAAGTGACCACCTTGCCAAACATATTAAAACACATCAAAATAAAAAAGTTATTCATTCTAGCAGTACAGTGCTAGCATCTGTGGAAGCTGGAAGAGATGATGCCTTGATTACTGCAGGAGGAACAACACTTATCCTTGCAAATATTCAACAGGGGTCTGTTTCAGGGATAGGAACTGTCAACACTTCTGCCACCAGCAATCAGGACATCCTTACCAACACTGAAATACCTTTGCAGCTTGTCACAGTTTCTGGAAATGAGACAATGGAGTAAATATTACACAAATACTTATTCATTGTGGTTATTTTTATACAGTAGTGAGAAGAATATTGTTCCTAAGTTCTTAGATATCTTTTTATTGATGTGCAAAAATTTTTGGATTGACAGTAACTTGGTTATACATGACACTGAAATGCCTTACTTTGTATGATATTCCATAGTATATTAAAATGGTAAAATTGCATGGGTTTTGTAGGTACTTTTGGAATCTAGAAGAAATGAAATTTTACCAAGTTATATAAAGAGAAAATTGAATTTAACAATGCGAATGGTAGTCTAACCAAATGCATCAATCCTGTGTGGTTTAGTGTAAAAATGAGAAACTGTTGGTATTTATCTATTGTAAGATAAAAAAAAAGTTGGTGGGTGAAAGAAATCATGTTATGATAAATTTTTGTAATTTTCTTGATGACTGGAATTTTTATTATGCATAACTGACAAATCAAGTTTCCAAGCAAATGTTACATAGTGTAGGCTTTACTTAGCTTATATCAATTTGTCATTTTGAAGCTAATTATTTTAATTAGGTTAACTGTACAATATTTTAAGCATTACTCTTGTAAGATTTTGAAAACTACATTTTAACATGGACCTTTAGGGATAGTCACCTTTTAAATCCTGTTGAAAAGCCATGTTTAAGATTTAATTTGCCAAAATAATGTCTTGTTAATATTCTTTCAATAATGAAGTTGGGCAATATAACCGATGTTTTTAAAAAGTTTAAAATGTGTAGGTTGAGGCATTTGGGTGGTAAGAAAATGTTCTAGTGAATTACCCCTTTTCCTGAAGTTTGGAGGACCAAAAAAAGAACAAAAAACAAAAACAATAATAATAAGGTGTATTGCGTCTTAGCAGTGATTAATTGTTTTCTTTCTTTCTTTTTAAATCCAATCTTGTTTCCAAAAAACATGTCTGCCAGGGCCTTAAAAGCCATTGTGTAAATTACCAATAAAGTATAACATATGCAAACGTAACACAATCACTTCCACAGTGACGATACTCCAACCATATGGACAATAGTCATAGAAACTAGAAGCTTTATGATATTTTTTTAATTTTTTTTGTCTAGATAGTCTGCACTTAAATATCAACCATTTTCCTTTTTTTGCTTCTTTCCTTAAAATTTATATGTATCCAATACATTTAATTGAGAAATGTATGTTTTTTATTATGCTGTATTTTCTTTTTATTTTTTAATTATTGTTTATATTTTCAATTAAAAATGTACAAAATAAAATTACATTGCTGGTCTTGTAAGAGCGCTACAATTTTCCTAAATGTACCTATAGCTGCAGCAGTTCACCTATTTCAAGAAGTTGGATTCTGTTCATTTGTTATCTTAAGACCACCTCAGACTGAAAGGCTACCTTATTGTACGTTTAAAGTGTATTATAACAGTGTGGTAGTTAATAAAACACTATTTTTTTTCTTTTGAGTTTGTTGTAGTCCAATGGATTTAAAATACTGCAGTGGTATGGATAAGAAAGTCTGGCTTATCTTTAATTTTGGCCTCTTATTTTAAGATTCTTGATTTCAGACGCTGGGATTGTACACAAATATATTTACTTAAAAAGAGGTGTATAGAGGTGCTGGCAATTTAATTTTTTACTTAAAATGAATTTATTAAATATAACTTGGAAAAGTAACTTAGCTCACATTGATTTTTATCAGTCTCATCAACGCCATTTTGCAAACTACTTCCCGTTACGAAGCACTGCAAAGTATTTTGATTTATGAGTGTTCTGAATTTACATAGGTATTCCTGCAAATGGTAACATAGACAAGCTGTGGAAATCATGGCAGACAGCAGCTATTGTAAAGGTTTTGAATATTGTGCCTGGGATAGTTCTATAGGAAGGGTGGGTGGTAGGAGTGTGGGAAGACAGCGGGCTGTTTCCTTCTGTGTGTGGACATTGTTGGTGAAGTTTCCATCGTCTGTTATCCAGGCCCAACCTAACATTGTTACTTGTAATTTCTAGTGCGTGTGTTGGTCAACTCTAGGCACACACAGTAATCATGGACAGTTTTTCTAAGTAAAGCTTAAACTTAGGCTGTTAAAAAGGAACTGTTACTTGGAATTTATTGAAAATCAATACTTTGAGATTGAGGATCAGAATTTGAAATAATTTTTTAGAATAGTTTTCATTAAGATTATAAGTAGAGTTTGCTTGCTGAACAAACATTCACTGAATTAGAAGGTAGGTTGTGTGTATGTGGAGGGGAGGGTTGGAGGTGTAGGGAGGTTAGCCTCCGGGCTCCCATTTAGGTTTGGCTGACTGGTCAGTTAACCTTATGGGGCAGGGATGTTCCTAACCTCCCTGGTTGGGGACCACCACACCTGGGTTTTTTGTTTGTTTGTTTGTTTTGTTTTGTTTTTGTTTTTTTGGTGGGTTTTATGTGCTCAGACTTGAGTCCTCATGCTTATGTGGACTTTGCTGACTGAATTACCCTAGCACCAAGATGTTTTTTAAGTAAAAACATTTCGATCCAGGAATTCCCAAGCATATTTAGACTAAATGCACTGAAGAAAGCTGTTAATGATCTTGAAAAGTGTGGATTTTAGATATTTTGTTTAACAGGTGAAAATATTTGACTTCCAGTGTAGTGATTGTATTATCGTTTTTATATTTGAATATTGGATGTTTTAGAAACAGTATTTGAGGAGTTGCTCTGAATCCAAGTTCTGTAGTTAAAAAAAGTCTATCACTGGACAAGAATATTTCTCTGTAGATGTTTTAATAGTTTTGTCCAGTTTTAAAAAAATAACTAGAGTTAGTGCACATTGTATTGATATACAAGTAATTACTATTATACATCTACTGAGCTGGATGTCTGCTATCCCTCGAAGGTACCACTCAATGCTTCAAATGGAGGTATACACGCTACAAAGTCAGCTACCTTGTAATGTTGATCTCAAAATAGTGAAAGTGCTTTAATATATATAAAGTCACTTGTTAGGTAAGCTGGAAGCATGTTAGATAGACATTTTATAGAAAATAATTCTTCGGACCAGAGAGATGACTCACTACATAAAAGGTGCTTGTTACACAAGCGGGACAACCTGAGTTCAGTTCTAGGCTCGAAAGCCTTGTAGAGGTTGAGGGAGAACCAGCTCCACAAACTACGTGCTGCCACAATTGTGTGCATGCAATAATAAAAAGGAAAAGATAGGTCTTAACCATCAATAAATCCTAGTAAGCGTTTTTCTTTTATTTTTTAAATTATTTATTTTGTATGCAGTGTTCTGCCTGTATATATGACTGCAGGTCAGAAGAGAATACCAGATACCATAGATGGTTGTGAGCCACCATGTGGGTGCTGGGAATTGAACTCAGGACCTTTGGAAGATGAGGCAGTGCTCTTAACCTTGGAGCCATCTCTTCAGCCCCAGTGTTTTTATTTTTTGAGGCAGCCTCATTTAGCCCAGGCTTCCCTTGAGGTTGTAGCTGGAGGTAAACTGCTCTTCCCTCTGCCTCCCATGTGCTGGGATTACACATCACTTCCACCATACTTGGTTTGTGCTACAAAATTTTTTAGGAAAAAAAAAATGTGGGAATGCAGTCGTGGCTACAGTAGAGCTCAGGACAGCACTGTGGGGTTGGTTGTCCATCTAGAGGGGAAGGGTTCAAGGTCGGGCTGTTAGGGTTTTGTGGAAAGTGCTTTGCCTGAGCCATTTTATAGGTTCTGGAAAAGGGTTTTTTTTTTTGTTTGTTTGTTTTTTTAAATAATGTGTATGGGAGTTTTGTCTGCATGTATTTCTGTATCACATGTGTACCTGGTGCTCAAGGAGGCCAGAAGAGGGTGTTGGATCCCCTGGGACTGGAGTTAACGGTTGTTGGTGCTCATCAAACCTGGGTCCTCTGGAAAAGCATCCAGTGCTCGTAAGTGCTGAACTACCTCTAGCCACCTGGAAAATATTTTTTAAAAGTCCATTTGACTTGCTTTATTCTTGACTAGATAGGGTGTTTTGTTTGTTTTGGGGTTTTTTTTTTTTGGTAGCACCTTAGGTTGTTACATAACCTTTATTACGATCATTTAAAATTCAGCAGGAAAAACGTAGAGGTTTTATATAAGAAGAAAATAGCAGCTATTCCTTGTATTACATATTTAATTTTGCTTTGGAAGAGTGTATGCTTTTCTAAGCCCCCCCCCCAACCAAGCAACTCACTTTAAAAAAGTTAAAATACTATAAAAATAAATGGTATTTTGTGGGAAAAATAAGTGCAATAGGCATTTCCTTCAGATTCTAATTATAGATTAGATCCTAGAGCTGTCTCAAATTTCCTGTTTGTTTCATTGTATTTAATATTTGGATTAGAATTTTGAAATTTTGGTTTTAAAGATTGACAAGATTGACATTCTATAAACTACGGTTGAATTTTATGTGGTTAGTAAATATTTTCAGTGTAAATAGACTAGTGTGCTATGAATAAGTAGTCAGTCTTGTGTGACAGCAAGAAACCAGTTGACACCCTGGAGACAGAATTTGATGTTAGTGGCTCACCTTTATTAAGGTGAGAAGATTGATTGGTCTCGTGCCTTGTTCTTATTTATTTAAAAAATCGATTACATATGTATTTGTTGCATTTGTAAAGTGCTTTGGGAAAAATCCATGATTCCTGCTCCTCAGAAAAAGTAAACTTCATCCAGGTCCAGAGTTTTCAGGCACTGATAAGCTGAGGACTAAACCTAGAAAAAGGAGCGTAGGGCTGGGAGAGCTGCCAAGGAGACTGAAACACTCGAGAGGGTGAACGTCACACACCACGCTGAGTAAAAAGCTGGTCATTTGAGGGTGTGGGAAGAGTGGAGACAAGAACAGAAGATTCTTAGCGGTTAGGAGCTGATTGGCAAGCTTTGCTATTGGGGAAACACTTGTACTGAACAAATAGAAAAAAAGTGAAATTATGCTTTCACTCAAAGTAATTTCCTTTTAACATTCATGAGTTTTTTTGTTTGTTTGTTTTGGTTTTGGTTTTTCAAGACAGGGTTTCTCTGTAGCTTTGGATCCTGTCTTGGAACTAGCTTTCTTGTAGACCAGGCTAGACTCAAACTCACAGAGATCCGCCTGCCTCTGCCTCCTGAGTGCTGGGATTAAAGACGTACACCACCACCACCCAGCTCATTCATGAGTTTTTTTAAAGACATTTTTGAGTCTATAAAACAAATTACACTATATGTATTTTAAAAGTATTTCAGACTGATTGTGACATGCCTTTAACCCCACCCCCCAAGAGGCAGAGGCAGACATATATCTGAGTTTAAGGACAAGGGTTAGACAGTGAGACCCTGTCTTAAAACAAAATTTTCATATTTTGTGGCACTTAAATTATCAAACTCAGAACCTTGAATATACTATACAAGTATTTTACCACTGAGCTACATCTTCAGCCCTTAAAAATACTAAAGCTGGGTGACCTGCTGTCAAATAACATGTTTTGTTAACTGCCTAATTTATATAACTCTCCTCTCTCTCTCTCTCTCTCTCTCTCTCTCTCTCTCTCTCTCTCTGTCTCTCTCTGTGTGTGTGTGTGTGTGAATATGCTAGGGGAAAGATGTTAAGATCACTGGCTGTTCTTGCAGAGGACTGATTCCCAGATTTCACATAGCTGCTCACAACAATCTGTAATTGGCAGTATCAAGGGGATTGGCACCCTGTTTTGTAGGCAGAGACTGCTCGTTTGTTCCTGGCCGCCCAGACCTGAGTTATCACACAGAAACTATTAATTACCACACTGTTTGGCTAATGACTCTAGCGTATTCCTAGCTAGCTCTTACATCTTAAATTAACCCATTTCTATCAGTCTATATCACCACGAGGCTGTGGCCTACGGGCAAGGTTCCCAAGGTTCCAGCATGTCCTCTCAGGCAGCTACATGGAGCTTTGACTCTGCCTACTCTATACATCTGTTTCAGCCTGATTATATTCTGCCTTGCCATAGGCCAAAGCAGCTTTATTCATTAACCATTAAGCAACACTTATTGGTTAATGAATAAAGCTGCTTTGGCTTTCTCTTTTCAAGCCCATGCCACTCTACAGACATTTTACCTTCTTAAAGCATTCTCATCCATAGACAGGGGAACAGGATCACCATCTTTTAAAAAGCGTCTGACAAACAGGTCTGCATCAGGCTACCATCTGTTCAGTTCTCTGTGTGACCTTACTGATCCTCTGGGATGGAGTAGACTTAGGCCAAATAGGGAATTACGAACCGAATGTTTTCTGACTTAGTCCTAGACAAGTAGCACTAGTTCCCTTCATAAAATTTGTAGGGCTGATGACATCCGTCCTTCAACTGACATTTGAGAGCATATTATATACATACATAACATAGTAAGTATATATATATATATATACACACACACACACATATATATGCACACACATTTAGGATAAAATAACTATTACATGATTCTAAGTGCTGGGTAGAGGCTAAT